CCATGTCTAGAAATACGCTGTGATTTTGAAGAGAAAGAGAAGTCCATGGCCTCCATTTTAAGTGCCCCTGTAGTAAATACAACTATCTCCCTCTTCCTAGTCATTTTGGAAAGATGGTTAATTGTCATGTATGTAAAGTGTTTGATAAAATGTCTAATAGAGTATAAAATATTTGGATTTGGCTTACTGGTGTATGCTTTTATAATTTGCATTTGCTTAGGTAAATCCAGACACTTTTCCCCACATGGGAGACCCTTTTTAAGCATTAATACATCTATGTGGCATAAGTTTTAGTTTGCTAATATAATATATGGGCCTGTCAGTTTTTCATATAGTGGTGTCAAGGAAAATCGTATTCTTTCTACTGATAAATAAACTTGCACAACCATTTTTGTGAGGAAGGATGGTAGATTGTATGTGTTTTATATTTGGCATTTTAAAATGAAAAACAACTATAGATTGAATTAATGGTGTAGTGTTTAAAAATTGCAGATGGATGACTTGAAGCGAAGTGATTAACCGGGTTTTGTTTAGCCACTAACCTATCCTAGGAGTTAAATGATGCCTGTCTCAGTGTCTTGAGAAGCGGGTAATTTTCTAAACCAATCATCTATAATACGGAGGTGAAAACTTAGTTGGTTTCTAACCGGTTGCTGTTTTCCTATTATTAAGGTGCATTTGAGATGAGTCCGAATAACCACTATTTTGCTCCCACATACAAGACACTAAAATCATGCTTACTACTGTGCCCCACTCCTCTATTTGATAAATAGGGTTATAAGGTTCTTAGGATGTTATATCCCAATGACGACCTTGAGATTTTGTCTAGTTGAAACAAAAACAAAATTACAGGGTATATATAGCCATAAGTGTAATTTTTTCTAACATTCTCTTATATATAAATATATAATATACTATTGTGATGGGACAGAAACACTTGCAAAGTTTGAGGTGGTGGATGGTGCCCCTGTTAGAGGCGAGTCTGTCCCCATCAAACTGTTTTTTGAGTCCATACGAACTGACACTAACATATATGAAGATAAACAACAAATTCAGTGTGAAATACTATTTGAACCTTGTCCTAGTTGACGAGGAGGATAGACGCTACTTTGAACAACATGACATCACTATGTGCTGGGTTGCTGAGATTCCATGATCTGGGTTTACATTGAAATTAGACCTCCTCACACCATCATTCACTCAAATATCACTTTTGGAACACAATTGGTTTCAGGGTTTATGAAGGAATTTGAACACCTTTGAACTCCACTTTTTGTGCATGCCTAGATTGACATGGTTACCTTTGTACATTCATGCTCCTACATTATGATCGACAATACAGACTAGTGTGCGATTCAAATGTTTGATTTGTTGTGACAGGTTATGACAGGTTAGTTAGTTCTTTCTACAATCATTTTTAGAACTCTTCTTAGAACTACTTAAAATAATCTTATCTATAAATGCCAATAGTAATCAAATTTTCACATTTACTTGCAGGAAGATACTCCAGAAATCAGGCAAGTATCATGTTATTCTCTTGCTCCTATTAGGTTTTTCAGTTCACAATGGCTTCTAAAATGTTGGCAAGTATGCACTTGTATATAAGAATGACATCCATCAATTGTACCGTTTATTAATACTCATCTGATATTGTTAGCAGAGTAAATCTATTCAATAATAAAATGAAATTAATTTCCTTTTTTTTTTTGAATTTTTTCAGACTTGCAAAGAAATTCAATTAGGAATTCTTCAGTTCATAGTTGCTTTTCAAAAAAAAGTGAAATTCTGCAGTTGTAGATAGGGAATGACATTTAATATTTTTAAAATTTATTAATAGTTTTCTGAATATATAACTAGAATAGTTCACCTCGTATAAAATAAAATAAATTTCTTATTTTTTTTGAGGGAAAATAAATTTCTTATTTTGAATGGTCCAAGTTCGCAAAAATTTTACGGCTGCAGATTATGAAAGTTGCCATTTAATATGTGCTCCACATTTGTCATTGAGGCCTGCTATACTTATAGAATGGTGTGATTTAATTTAGTTCCTCTCTATATACAATTTTTTTTTTGTCTTAGTAGTTTCTATTCTCATATTTGTCACAATATTTTCATAATAATCATTATAAGCTCTAACATTGAAAATATTGATGTTTTAGCATAGTATGTCACTCTAATATTGACTTGTGTTAATTTTATTTTTTATTTTGTGATGTTGATGTTCTTGTTGAACTTGTGGATTATTAAAATTGCAAAGTTAAACAACTATGCAGGCTATGTTCAAGCAGATATTGAGAAGTACTCTAAAGACGATGGCGATGCTAGGATTAACGATGTCTAGCGTGTAGCAAATAAAAATGTTGTATCATTAAAGTGTAGATTTATTGCAACTTGTAATAGACCTAGTTATTGATATTGACACTTTGTAAAATAATTTGAGTAATAAATACAATTGTTGATCTTTTGTTTTGGTTATTTATTAATATTTATAAAATCTATAGTATAATTAGAAAGAAATAATATAATGATTATTATAATATTTATGACACTAATATGTCATATATGATATATGTTTATGATACCAACGTGTCACAAAAGTCTTTTGATACCAAAGTGTCATAATTTTGTACCACATTAATGTGTCATAATTTACTGACGCTATTTTGTTTTACGATTAGTGACACTATATTTAGTGTCACTAGCCGCCACTTTTCCCGACGCTTATTTAGTGTCACAGAAACTTTCAGTGACACTAAATTAGTGTCACTGTAAGGCCTTTTTCTACTAGTGTGATATAAGATTCTTCAAATAAGGAGAGAGATATTCTATTTATTGTTTTTAATTGGTTATTTCTCATGCCACGTATACACTGTTAACGTTTTAGCATTGAAGATGCTCTAAGAGTTCATACTACCGGGCCAATTTCCCTACAAAAAATAGTAGCATTATGTACCATAATTAGTACTTCGTAGTACCGAGCATTATGTAGGATTGTAGGATTTGTAGCCAAGCTTTACTTTTATGGCGCATTAATTGCCTTAGATACAGGAGAATTTCCAACACACTTAAGTTTCCAACTTTGCCCTTCATTTTGGGCGGCAATTTTGGTTCCAAAAGTTGTGGCCTGACTGTTACTTTATATTATATAAAGATAAAGATAATGAAATCATTCACAAATACTTCCTCTGTCTCGTTTTTAACTTCTTACTTTGACCCGCCCACATTTTTGGGAATTAAATTTGACTTTACTGTTTAGACACTATTTAGACACTGTTTGGGGTTGTTTTGCACTGTTTGACACTGTTTTGATGTAGGAAAACTTTCTATTAGGGAAATGAGAAGATGATTTTGGGACGTCCCAAAAAGGAAAGCAGAAAGTTAATAGCGGGACGGAGAGAGTAATAAAAATTCGTAAAAATATACTAAAAATTAATAAAAATATAAAATAAAAATTAAAAATGAAAAAAAATGCCGCCTCTAGCTCCCTAGCATCACCACCCCCGGTCATCGAAAAAACAAAAAATGACGCATGCATTAGGAATGTCATATTTATGGCAGATTCAATGAAAATTTTGGCGTTCTCAATGAATAATATGTCATATTTGTGGCATTAAAAATGGCATTTTTACACCGGTCGGAGGTGATGGTGCATGCAAGGAGGAAGTATAGATGGTGCGAAAGGCATCCATATTTTTAATGGATTTTTACTACTCCCTCCGTCCCAAATTGTTTTGCAAAGTCAACATTTTTTGGTCAATCAATAATAAAAGTCAATGCTCGTTATCCATAATTAATTCAATTTTAAACAATTAAAATTTATATATTCAGAAACTTCATTAAAATCTCTTCAAAGTTGTAAACTCCAAATTAGAATATAATTAAAAATTGACATCCTAATTAAGTGTATAAAATGAAACTGTTTGACCAAGAAAAGTCAAATTTGCAAATCAATTTGGGACGGAGGTAGTATTTTTTATTAATTTTTAAAATTGAAGATTTAAAAAAATTATTTTATAAATATTTTATTATTTTGTTATTATTTTTCTATGTTTTTTATTATTTCTTACAAATTTATTATGAATGAAAACATTTAATTATGACTTCTGACTACCTTTTACTCAAGTTTAAGGGAGGGGTAAGAATGGAATGAAAAAATAGGTATGTTTCCAAATAGGAGTAATATGGTCCTATTTCGGAATAAAAACATAAGTTGTCGTATTTTTTTGTCATAGTTTTACTTCTATTTGGAGTAATTTCTATATATACTTCGTACTGACCGTACATGTATTTAAGTATTATATAAATTATTTGGGATGTTTTTACTTATTTAACTTTTTGGTCTGATTTGTTTAAGTTTTAGTTAATTTAATTTGGTCTGAATTAGTCTGGTATAAAATGGAGCCAAATCTAATGATCACTATAACCCGTATAAAATTGAACATTAATTATTAAGATTACGGCCACTACGATAGTTAGGCTATTATTATGAAATATTTCCTCTGTTACAAAAATAAGTGCAACATGTTGTATTTTACACTATTCAACGTGTGTTATTTAATTTTTTTGAACAGATGTGTTATTTAACTATGCTTTATTTATTAATGTATTAATAAAATATTTTCCCTATCAAGTATTGTTAAATTTGTTTCATAGAATTATTATTTTTTGTTTATATTTATCTTTTTTCAACAACAAAAACATGGTTTAAAAGAAATGATAGTTTTCATATTTCTTTTTGTATTAGATATGTGAGTCGTGTTACTCATGCTTTCGTTAGGCATGTGTTTTCAATTCAAGTCTTAACACTAGATATGAGAGAGTTTCTTATTATGTTGTAAATCTGATCTAGAACAATTTATTTGAGTATATTGACATTGTTTATCTTATAAAAAATGGTTCATGTTTTCGTTGCCCTATTGAATAGGATCTAAAATCAAAACCGTTCCCAATATTTGAGGGGCTTAGAGGCATACATATAGATATAACCACTTTTTTAATCTTTTCATTTCAACCATCACTTCACCATCTCCGGTGCTCTCCCATCTATCCATTTGAACAGGTAAATAATCTATCATTTACTCGCATCTATTATTCAACATTTTAGCATGCATCTCCATTTCTTTATTCTATCTTCTTATATATATGTGAAATGATTAAATTTATTTTGCCTTACTTTATTGGGCTTGGATGCGATTACTTATGCAATGTATTAAAATCGATTGTATTAGTTCTCTTCTCATTTATGTGGAAATAAAAATCGTTATACGGCATTCTTGAATATTTGTTTTTTGAGTTAATAACGAACATTCTATCTTTTCTATACAAAGTATTTTCTTAATGTAGACCTACTACTACGGCAAAAAAAGTTTCTACTAAGGGAGAGGCGATAGCCAGCCTAAAGGAAACTTACGTGGCAAGCCCCTAAAAGATCAGAACTTTGTCACGGATTTTGTCACGGATCCGTCCATGACAAATGCCCGGAATAAAAAAAATTACATTGGAATCATTTATCGGTCGCCGGAACCCTTTTGTCACGGATAAAGTCTATGACAAAATTTTGTCACGGATTTATCCATGACAAACGTTTTCGTGACTTGTCAGCCAAGTCCGTGACAAACTTGTCATTGAAGGAATCCGTGACGGAATCCGTGACAAAAAGCCTGTTTTTTGTAGTGTAAATGAAGAAATGATAACACGATCTGGGAAGAAGTATTGAAGTTGAGAAGGAATGTTGGAATATTTTTCACACCAATAAAATATGAAGTAATAAACTACTCTCTCATCCTTAGTTTCTTCTCATGGCATCCCAACACTTTTTTCACATTTCATTTAAGAACTGGTTTGTATGATTATCACTTTTCTACCTCAACTACAACAATATATTTATTACGTAGTATACAATATTTTGAGATATCATTCATATCATTTGACCTGTTAGGATGGAATATATAATATTATTTCAATGTATATTTAAATAAACATGACCACAAATTTTGTATAAGCATCCTAGATTAAAAAAAGGTTCACTACGGTTGACGCTGCTCATACATCAAAATATTAAACAAAGCTAACCGTTGGATTTTTTTGGTTAATTAGTTAAGGAAAATGTTTTCTATACTTAAGTTGTAGATCTCAAGAGGAAGGTAACTACGTCCACCAAAATGGATGCAATTAATAAAGCACAAGGAGGAATTCAGATGCTGCTAACTGCGGAGCAAGAGGCCCAACAAATCATTGCATCTGCCAGAAATGGTCATATTCTTAATGTCTACATATTATTGAGATTCAAAAATCTATTTGTACACTCCCAAATTCACACATTTCCCATCCCATAGACGTTATCTGTGAAAATACTTTTTTTGTCTATGAATACACCGTTCACAAACAAAATATGTTTTGTCTATGAACAATGTATTCACAGACAAAAAATATATTCACAGACTACGTGTATGAATATGGCGTGCGCAACAAGAATTTTCATTGGGATTTTGCGTGAGGAAATAGATATCATAACGTTAATACATTGTTGTTTTTATTTAAAGAAAATGGAAGTTAGTTAAGGTCTTTTTAGAGGAAATGAAAGACTATCATATTAGACTAGAATCAGATTTGTATGTAAAGAACACACTTAAACAAAATAGGCCGACCACACAGGATTTAGATATAGTAAAATACATACGAAGTATAATATCAAATCAAATCACATGATGTCAAACTTAAGCAAATCAATCTAGATCAAACTAGATTTAAACAAATAAAGACAAGAATAGTTCAGACCTAAATTGAAAGTTTTAGTTGGAGTAAGAGCATCAAAGGATATCAATCATATCAATCAAACCAGTAGAAAGTTACTCCCTCCGTCCCCTTTTAAATGTCTCGTTTTACCATATTGGGATGTCCCTATTTAAATGTCTCATACCTTATTTGGTAAAGTTTGTGTGACTCAAAATCATTCTTACTTTATTCTTACTTTATCAATTAATATCAACCACACAAACCCACTTTTCTTAAAACTCATGCCACCCTCTTCCGGGACATTTAAAAGGGGACGGAGGGAGTATTTTCTAATGGAAGATAGGGAGTACAATATATTAAGAGGCTAATATATAATTAATTACATGTGCCAAGGAGCAAACCCCAAAAATCAGATAAAAAAGTTGTCTAAGGCATACCATAAATCACTCTTTCAAACCATTAAATACCCAAATGACTAATAAATGTACAAATTAAAAGAAGAGGTTAAGTTCCCGATTTGAAATTTTTAGTTTCATGTTTTGTTCAGTTAAAATGACGCGTCTAAGGCAGGCTCATGAAGAAGCAGATAGGGAAGTGGCAGACTATAGGGCTCAATTAGAAGCTGAATACCAAAGACAAATCTCTGAGGTCAGTTAATTTTCGTTTCCATACACTGAACAAGGCAAATTATATTGTGCAACCAGCATACCATGCACATGGTATGCCGATCTGATACGGTATCATTTTGATTAATAAAAATTAGTCATCCTCGTCCGTCTGAGTGGCTACGATCGGTTCTTGAGCTCCTGCCCAGAAAATCTCAGGCTCATCATCGGAGCTCTGCTTTCCATCTTGAAATTACTATTCCATCATCCGCTCAATCCTTTGATCTAGATATGGCTTCATTGAGTTCAAAGAGTCTGCTAATTGCTAGGTCTTCTTCAATTGCACACTAATTACCCAAAAGACATAAAGACATAGTAATCCCCTCTCGGTCAATTAGTCTTCTTCAGGAAACAATAATCTTAACTCATCAATAATGACAAATACTCCAACTATCAACTACAAAACCACCGCCGGCAAAACAATCGGTCATCTATTTTACAGGGAGCCAACTTTAAAGTGGAAGAGATGAGAATGGAGTCTTTAAATTCAACTTGTCGAGTTACATTTCATAATACACGGAGTTGCATCATTCTTATGCACGATTTACATATCTACATGCATGAGTTACATTTAGAATTATTTCAGTAAGTTACACTTTGTATACACTTGAGTTACATTTTGTATAAACGACAGTTACATTTTCCATAAAGCGAGTTACATCACAAAATAAACACTCCTATTGAATGGTTGTAATATTAAAAACATCACAGATTCACTATTTACGTAAAATAATTGAACAATTAGACTCTTTTTTTATTATTTACATTGAAATTAATGTTTAACATCTTATATTCTATTTTAGACAACTTACATTTGAACTTGAGTTAATTTACATTTCCGAACAACATGAGTTACATTTCATTACACACGAGTTACATCATTCTGCTCCTGGACAATGAAAAACAAAAAACATAGGTTATTGTTCACGCGCGTGAACAGTAACACACGGTTTTTTTAGGCTAGAACACTATGCTCCAAACGACGTCGTATTGGGTGCAGGAGCATGATGCTCATGCTGGACAGGTTGCACCGTATACGTACTGCTCAACAATTGCATAACAAATATAACAAGATCTTGTACGAAAAATCATACTTCCTCCGTTCCTTTTTAATTGCAACAGTCAACATTTCACGTTTGTCAAAACACAAGTTTGATCATTAATATCTTTCATTCCTTATTAGTAAAAAAATTAAAAAATTCATATTTTGAAAATTTAGAATGAGAAAATTTTAACAATATTTTTAAAAAATTAAATTTATTATACATCAATTAATAAAAAGTAGTCAAAGTAGAACATGTAAATAGTGCAAAAAGTCCAATGTTGCAACTAAAAGAGAACGGAGGTAGTATAATCCAAATCTAATATATATATATATATATATATATATATATATATATATATATATATATATATAAAAGGAAAAACCTTATAAGTGTGACTATTGGTTACAGTCCTTATATAAATAAAACCTTGTAAGTGTCAAAATTTGTTACTATCCGATCTACGGTATCATTTAAACAAAACCTTTCTTAACTTCAAATAAAGTGGGGAGTGTTGGAATATTTTCATTTTATATGTGTCCTTAGGACCATTTATAATAATTATTTAATTATTACTCCATACTATGTTAATACTACCTCCGTCCCGGTGGATTTTGCCAAGTGCAAAGTAGGTGAGAAATAAGAATAGTAAAAACTATGTGGTTGAGATTTGTGCAGAGGAGAAAGAAATGTGCAGAACCACAAATTAATTGTTTTAATAGGAAAGTGACAAAGTTTTTTGGGACAACAAAAAAAGGAAAGTTGGCAAAGTCCAATGGGACGGAGGGAGTAGTAATTATGCCAATAATGATACAATGCGTCCACGTCTTACCTAAACATTACTTGATGGGAGTAATTGTAATTATTATAAGGGGGTAATTGATTTCTCATTAGGTGCCTATTAATTAATTAAATTAGATGGAAAGACATGACTATTCCTTGGTGTCCATTCTCTTATATTCATATATGAAAGGATGTGTTCATTTATTCATGTCTCTTCACTCATGTCCCTAGAGACTTATAAATAACATCAGAACACTTCTCTAGGATATACATCTATAACTCGATCATTATCATTGATCAATCCTCCATCACCAATAAGGTACCATAATGGGAATCATGGTTTCATCAACGAACAAGATAGATTTCCTTCAAGTAAGTAAATCATATCTTTCATACTTGTTAATTTTGTTGTGTTTGATTTGATTAGAGAAGATTACTAAACGTTAATTCGTTAATCTTATTCAACAAGGAGGATTCTGACAGGACTTATCTTAAAATGAAAACTTTTCATCATAATCTTTCATTTTATTCAAACATTGATTAGGTTGCACATGAAGTTCTTTGTGCAATTATTCAAAACTTAAAAGCGGTCCTTAATTTGTAGTATACAATTATTACAAAAGTGAAACTTTGTTGATTCTAACCTTTGATTTGAAATATGAAAGGTGGAGAGTAAGGTTTTCATCAGAGTGGTTTTCATTATTAATGTACTCTTTCCTTTTGTTAATTGATAAAACCGCAATACCAAGTATATATGAACAATGTGCTTTTAGAGTACTACAATGATAAGTACATTTAAAGCTAGGAGGAAGTTCATTTTGGATTGACTTTTTTTTTCTTGAGTTATACTCTTTTCTGAGAGCATTTGTCACTATATGAGTGTTTGACAATGAGGGTTGATTATTAGCGGATAATCGATTGAATCAATAAATTAATATCACCATATTGTGTTAGCTGTTTTGGCCAGGTACTCTCTTTAACTCTCTTTAACTGTTTGAACTCAAGTAAAATGATTGATAACTTAATTAACTATTTACGATTAGTTGATTATTAAGACGTAATATGATCATTAATGATATGAATAGAAGTATATTAAACTTAACTTTATATTTTTCTGGTAACTTTTGGAAACAATGTTAACATTAATTATATTTACTTTTATATTACACTCCGTATAACTACTACTACTATTAGTTTTAGTACACACATACACATATTCATTTCTTTTAAGTATTAATATTTTAAATGTGGGTTTTAAAAAAAAATTTAAATGTGATTATTTTTAGTACATTTTAAAATAATATTACGTAGTATAACATAGCAAGGAGCCAAGGATATCCATAGTGGTATTTATTATTATCATTATTATTATTACAATGTCATTATTATTTTTACTGTATTTCAATTAATATTGTAGTTTTTGAATGATTTACAGAGTAGCGGAAGCTCAGACTCAACTGTGAAGCGGCTAGAAGCAGAAACGGAAACAAAGATTGAGAAGTTGAAGGAAACAGCCTCTAAGGTGTCTCCCGACATTGTTTCCATGCTAATCAACTCCGTCACTACCGTTAAGACAACTTAATTAATTCATTGTCCGAGACTCCGACCTAGATGCTATTGAAGATTGCAGTAAATCATCGATATATTACACATGTACACAAATAAAATTATTTACACCTTCGCTCATTTGATCATCCATTTATCAGGAATTCCAATTTTAAAGTTTCTATTTTGATCTATTGCATTTTTATTCATATTCTTATTAGTTTAATTTGAGAAGCTAGAAGAGAGAACTATTAGATTTGGAGATATTTTGGACTTAAAATAAAAACATTTTTAAAATTAATGAGTAGTGAATGCTAAGAGAAACACTAATAGGCGTTGGGTAATACCCAAATCGGCTGCATTGGTTAATTCTGTTGAAATTTATGAAGTCCCAGCAGAAGTGACTATATTTACTAATTCTGTTGCTTTATGGAAAAAATGTTTAAAATATATTTTATTAATAAAATAAATAAATAAAATATATGAAAAATCAGCTAAAATGGTCCTCTACAGTAACTTCAGTCAGTGCAATCAGAAAAGTAACTTCAACCTTAGTTTTTCTTATTATCACACAATTCAACGTGTAAAATCACAAGTTACGGGTATGATTAAAAAGTTGACTGATAAGTCTGATAATTCGAAAACCAAAGTCAAACGGGTTGTAAAACTCATCAGTAATAATTTGTTCCTGTGATGGAATGTTGTACCAAGAGCAAGGGTGGGATCCAACAATCCAAGTAGTCATATATGTGTAAGTTGTGTAACGTAACACATTAATGTCTTAGACCCCGTTTGGTAACCTTGAAATCAATTGATTCGACTGATTATACTAAAATTTATGAAGTTCTGGTTGAAATGACTGTCATGACTTATTCCGCTAATTTATGAATAAATTAAATTTAAATATATTTAACTAATAAAATAAAGAAAAAATGGTGTGAAAAAAATATCTGACCTACAGTAACATCAGCCAATACACCAAAAAAAGTAACTACAACCTTACTTTTTCCTATTATTACACAATTCAGTGCCCGAAATCAAAAGTTACGTGTTTGATAAAAAAAGTTGGCTGATAAGCCGAAAAACAGAGTCACCAAACGGACTCTTAAAGTTGAATTTATTTTATATAACGGTACTTTCACAAACAAAACAGATGAAGGGAGTTGTCGTAAGTTTCCGATATGAGTAGGTGATGCGATTATTATGAATATATTTATTTGGTTGATACTAAATTAATAAAGCAGATAAGTAAAAATGATTTTGAACCATATAAACCTGATCAAATTTGGTATGACACTGTTTTTGTAGGACGGATCGAAAGGAAAAGATGAGACTATCTTAACAAGATGATATATTTTTTTAAAAATAAGATGATATGTTTGATTTCCCTGATGTTTGATTTCCCTTATTTCCTTGGATGGAGCTCACTTCGTCAAATCTTGCATGCCCTCAATTATTTTTAGAGAATATTATCCGAAATAGCACTAAAAAGGTTTGAAAATTCCAAAATATGACTGTCCTAAGACTAATTACTGTCGTGTTTTGGCAGTACCGGACTTCAAACATGACAATATTTTCCAAACTTTGCAGTAATTACTTATATTTGAGAATAAAAAACATGATAGTCTTATTTTGAAATTTTCGAACTATTTTAACTCTGTTTCGGGCTGTTTAGAGAATCACTCGGATGGGCATTTATTAAATAAATCTCCCGAATAACAATATAATGGGATATTCATGTACCGAGTGTCTATTTGAAAATTGTCATCTTACATTTATTTTCTCTAAAAAAAGGTTTATTAAAGGGTTTTATAGAGAGTACTAAATTAAAATTAACTACTTATTTACATAAATATGATTAAGAGTTATTACAAAGTAGTATCATGATAACTTAGGTTTAAAATTTTAATATAAGTTACTATATGATTTGATTACTATTTTAGTCAGTAGTCACATTTTTGTAAATAATCTTAATTTTAGTCCTATATATGTAAATAAATTGACTTTTCTTAATTAATGTGAACTAATTTTGATTAACAATTTAAAATATATAATTATTTGAATATGAAATTATTTTAAAATATTCCTTATTGAAAATGTTTTTATAAATATATAAAATTTATAAATTACTAGTGTATATTAATATAATAATTAAAATCATTGTCTGAATTTTGAATGTTTTTACTTAGATTTGCTTCAATCTCAAATCAAATCAGACCAAATTGCACTTTAACAAATCAGACTTCAACATTTGTAAAATATATATAGAGCAAATCAAATCAATTTAGACCAGATTAAACCAAATCACATTCAAACGACCAGAGTAGACAAGAAAATGGTTTTTTTATAAGAATATTACTAAAATAAAACATATTTACATATATGACTATTCATTACTACAATGTGGTGTTGTGGTAATTTTTTAAGCTCAAAAGTTGAACATGAATTTCATTATACTTAATCACTAATAAAAAAGGAACAAGATCGATCCGGAATAGTCTGGAATTTATCTTGTGTCTTTTGATTTTGATACCGAAGAAACCAACATCCAACGATTTAAATTACCGAAAAAGCGCACGCATCATTACGTGGAAGCCGGTTACTCGATCCCATGCATGCATGCTGACACGTGTCCTCATCAAAACCCAACGTGGGCCGTAAGAACAACGCCAAAAATCGCAATCCTTCTTATTACGGAAACACCCCTCAACCTCATCACCGATCAAGTAACCGCTCCCTAGTTCATTTAATAATATACTATTTATTTACCACTTACAATTCAAATCACTCGACGAACAAAGAAGAACTGGATCCACCAAAAAGATGATGAATGTTTTGGCTCTCTCCTTAGTCCTCACCACACTGGTGACGGCCGGAGTTTGGTCTCCGCCGCCGCAAGAGAAAACCCACGGCCAGGAGGATGTGATCGTCAAAGAGGGGCACAGGGTTGTTGTCGTGGAGTACGAGAAAGATCACGGCTGGAACACTAAGGTCTCCATTTCCCCGCACGAAATTACGGAGGAACATAAAAATCCCACCCCTGTGCCGGAAATAGAGGAAACGGCGGATGGCGGTGGAAGTGATGATTCTCATCTTTCGAAGAAGAAGAAGACGGCAACCCCTAGAGAGCTCGTTTGTGACGCTTATGGTAAGTGCAAGCACAGGATCGCAGGTGCTCTCGGCCTGACGAAAGACGCTGCGGCGGAGAAGGCCCTTGATGTGGCGGGGAAGGCAAAAGAAGGGGCGGATATAGCGTATGAGGCGGAGGAAGGAACTAGACACGCTGTTGGGGATGTGGCGGGGAAGGCGGGAGAATGGGCCGCGGAGAAGGCGTATGACATGAAGGAAAGGACTACGCAAACCGTTTGGGAGGGGCTAGAAAAGGCGAGGCAAACCGCGGCGGAGAAGGCACAAAACGCGGAGAAAGGGATGAGACATGTCGTCGGAGATGGCCTCGAAAAGGGGAGAGATGGTGTGGCGGGGATGGCCCGAAAGGCGTATGACCTGGAGGAAGATATGAGGGATACCGTCGGCGAGGGGCTCGGAAAGGCAAAAGACGGTGCTGTGGAGATAAGCCGAAAGGCGGCAGAGATGGCCGGAGACGCGGCTGAGAGGGCGTATAATGTGGAGGAAAAAACGAGGCGTTCAATCGGAGAGGGGCTGGGCAAGGCTGGAGATATGGCCCGGGCCATGGCGGGGAAGGCATATAGCGCCGAGGAAGGAACGAGGCAGGCGGTCAAGGATGGCATCGAAAAGGCGAGAGACACGGTAGTGGATAAAGGTCACCGGGCGGCGCAGAAAGTGTACGAGGTGGAGGAAGGAGCCCGGGAATCGGTCAAAGAGCAAGTATCCGCGGCGGCCGGGGAAGTGAAAGCAATGAAGAGGGAAGTTAGGGAGAAGGTTGAAAAAGTCAAGGAAACAATGAAGGACAAAATAGTCAAAACCATGGAGAAGGTATCGGGTATGGCTAATTTGGTTGGGTTAGCAACGGCTTATGGGATGAGTGTTTGGGTAACATTTGTATCAAGCTATGTGCTGGCCCGGGCATTGCCCAGGCACCAATTTGCGGTAATCCAATCCAAAATATACCCGGTTTATTTCAAGGCTATGGCTTATAGCATTGGGACAGCGCTTTTAGGGCATTTAGTAAGTCAAAGTCAAAGGGTTGACAAGTTCATGGGGTTCAACCTTGTGCTTCCACTCGTCATGGTCTTGGTCAATTTGCTATACTTGGAGCCACGCGCCACAAAGGTACAATTTGCTTTTATGTGGTAATTAAATAATTGTGTTATTTTTGTAGACATGTAAATTTTACAAAACAAACAGAGTAGATTTCAGTAATTTAATATGGATTTCTAAAGTTTAATTTGAATTTAGGAATGTTTTATGATTGATAATATGATATATAGCGTTTCCCAATATATTTATCTGTTTTGCTTATCATCTTTTTTCCTCAGTGACCCGCCGAGCGGACCGGGAAGCTACCCGGCCGAGCGATAGGGTCACGGGTCAGCCCGAACCCAGTGGGTCAACCCGGTCAACACCCGGAAAACCCGGTCAACAAAGAAATAAAATTATAATTTTAAAATATATATACAATTTTTAACAAAATACTATCTATAAAATATATATTAAATTAGATGGATATTAAATATGAATATGATGCTTATCAAAAAATTAAATATTATATAAACACTTTCACTCATAATATTGGTAATCACATATACTGTATATTAATGATGTTATGTTTTTATTGTGAATATTAATTAAAAAGTATATCTATATTTAGTAACAGATATAAAATATATATTAAATACACTTGAGTAACTCATTTTACCAACATTCCTAAGCAACCCGGGTTGTAAGAAATTTCCGGGTTTGGGCCGTTGCGGGTTACGGTCCGGGTCTGGCGGGTCAGCGGGTTTTTGCAGGTTTGAGGTTAAACTGGACCGGATTGGGCTTCGGGTGACCGGGTTCCAGGTCGACCCGCCCGGTCCGGTTCTTACAACATAGGGTAGAGGGTGATCAATATAAATTTTTCTAGAGAATTCATTAAGTAGGAGTAAAAATTTTTTGAAATAAATGTTTGAAATTTCAAAATAAGACTATAATGTTTTTATTCCCTAAATAATTATTTTTTTATTCCCTAAATGATTATT